GGAAGGCATAATATGACAAACGCTACTCTGACGATATAATTTGTCACTTTTCTGTCTCTTACATCCCTATATGGGATGCCTATTTTGACAAACTTAATTGTGACACGAAATATTTGTCACATTACTCACTTTAAATGACAAAATATTCTGACAACAGGAAATTGTCACTGTTGAGTCTCTTACATCTCGATATGGGACGCCTATTTTGACAAAATTAATTGCGACACGATAAATTTGTCACATTACTCACTTTAAATGATGACTTATTCTGACCAATTTTATTTTTGTCACATTAGGCAAACCAAATATGACATATATCATTTTAGTCATATCACCGTACCTATTGTGACAAACAGAAAATGACAAAATAATTTTTTTGTCCTAATAGGCCGAATTTGTGCAAAAGAAGAATGAAAAGAAGCCTAAAATAGAAAATAACCTCTGATACGATGAACAGAATAAAACCATATTGAGCTATGATCCTGTCATCCCTACCCTTTTATTCTCCATAAAGGGGGTTGTGGGAGAGGATAAGAAATAAATAGCAGGATCTTAGGATTTGCCTCTTTATATATTACATATCGAACGATAGACAACCCCAATGGTTGTCTGACGTTATGGGGGTAAAGCCGGGATCTCTATCCCGAGAATGGGGGATACAAGTAGCACTTTTAATATGAAAACGTTATCCAAACCTTGAATTGACTGATCTTTCGGACGTGATACTATACTCCAACCCTTAGAGATCAAAATCTAGGTTTTAATTCTCTAAATCTTATATCCCAAGATCAATTTAATTAGAAACAATGATCGGAGGTTATGATTTGTCCAAATATAGGCAAAAAATGAATGCACCATCTTAGGGTTTATAGGATATGATTTAGATCATTAGGATCTAGGATTCACTCATTAAGGGTTAAAGTATATTATCCGACCCAAAAATCCTGCCAATTCGAGGTCTAGATAGCTTTTTGCATACTCAAGGTATGTGGTACCCTAGATCTCACCCGGGGTACCCTAGAAGCCGCCCAATATCAAGGTATACTATACTTTTGATTTTACTCAAGATACGATAGAAGATAGGTATGACGAAGTATGCCCATAAATTAGAGGTTAGAGAATTAGGGACTGGAGTTCACCTATTAGAGGTTAGAGTATAGTATCATGCCCCAAAAAACTCTGTTTAATTCAGGGTCTAAATAGTATAATTCAATGGTCGTATGGTAGTGTGAACGCAAGAGTATAGCATACTCCTGCCGCACGCTAGCTTGAACTATATATGTGTGTGGGGGGGGGGGGGAGTTAAGGTTGGCGTACGCTAAACATTAGTGTTTTGGTTGATAAATTTTGACATAAGTTCTAAATGGGACGTGATAGTGACATCATTTATGATTAGAAAACCGAAGCATCACAAGTGAGTGTGCTAAATATTGGAAATTTTCAATATAGACATATTACAAACTCTGTTATGAATCAAGAACACAAAATATTTGGAAAATCCAAAATAATTTAAACATAAAAATAAGTTAATTAATATAAATTATAAAATAAATCTCTCCGGCCAATGGGTCAGGTAAAAAGCTAGTTCATATTCAAGCGAAATAAAGTTTTCAGGGCAAGCTCGCATCACTCTGCTTATGGGGCCCCTAATGGTGAGCTATATGAAGTTGGCAAGTCAGTAATGAAGTGGTTAAGTCTCATATATATGGGTCTCTTCCAATAACTCGAGTTATTGGAATTAGTTGGTTTATGATATGGTATCTGAGCTGATTTGTGCTTGAGGTCACGTATTCAAATCCTCACGACCCTCAATATTAACCATTATCTTCAAGCCCATTGTATGGCGGACATGTGCAAACTTCAAGTCCATAAGTTGACTTTCGTTTGAGGGTCGTGTAAGGAAGTGGTTAAGTATGATACATGTGCATCTCCCAATAACTCGAGTTATTGAGACTAGTTGGTTTATGACATAAATCATTGCCACTAAGCTCAACTTTCCTAAATCATACCCACATGTAAGTTAGAAATCATTGTCACAATCTCATTAGACTCAACTTTTCCAATCACATTTGCACTTACAACCCCCTCTTTTTGGTTCCTCTTGGGATTATGACAAAGTGAAAATATGTTCCAATTGCCAACAATTGAAGCAATTCTAGCACAAATAGGAGTCGGTTTCTTCATCTTGTTTTTCTGGTCTGGTTGTTAAAATTGTTCATGCCCTTTCTCTTCTTGTCTTTCTTGTTCTCCACAACATTCACTTTAGAGCTTGATAGTGCTTTCGAATTTGTTTCAAAGTAAACTCTTCTGACGTATGAAGTAATTTCTTTCTATATATAGGTGTTCCATGATAGAGGCAACTTTGCAATAATTGCTCCTACCAGGAGCCCCTTCAATCTAAGTCTAGAAGCAACAATCTTATAGACTTTTGTGTTTGTGTTTTGAGAAGGAAACGGGAAGAAGAAGATTAATGTTGGAATTAAATTATGGTCGAAAAAGTATTTTATTGTGAGTAAATGACAATTTTCTCTGAAAGGCTATTTTGTTTCACAAAACTCAAATTCAATTAATTATCCTAAATTAATTAATCAAAAAATCAATTTCAGAACTTCATTGCACACACATTTTCTGAAAATTCACTAACCACGTTATCTCATTATAAAGTTGAAAGCATACTTATAAACCACTTGCACTTTCCTTCTTCCACCAATGTGGTATTTTCATTCTTTTGACTATTCGAACACATAAATCAAGATCTATGTGTTAACGGATATAGCTCGTCTAATCCTTTTTGTCCTCCTCGCTGCTAGGAACCCTACGATGCCGGTTTTCGTCAGGCGAGCGGTTTACATTTTATCATTACTAACAAAAACAATAATATTAACGAATCAATGCATCATAATTATGAATAAAGTTTTGTAACCCTATGTTGTGATGAACATAAGTTGCTTCGTGGATTTGAAAAATGAAGGTTTTGGTATAATTTGGATTTTGAAAAATCATGGATATATGAGGGTTTTGGGTGCATTATGGATTTGATAAACACCATTGTTTGTTTGATGGATTTCATGATGGATTTTGTTAATTAAATTTGTATGTATGATGTGTAACTTACCTTTGTTGCCCTCAAGGATATATGAAGAGAAAGAAAATATGAGGGGTAGGTTTGGTAAAAAATGATGGACTTTAAAGTCCATGATCAATTCCCACCTAAAGAGGTGTGATTTTCAAGTCCGTGTGCCCCACGGTTTTGGACTCTCAAAGTCCATGGGTCCCACGGATTTGTTACCTCTAAATATTTGAAGCAAACAATCGATTTCGGACAAAGTCCATCATGGATTCAAATCCATTACCAAATCCATCAAGCAAACAAGGTAGCTTGGTTGCAAAATCATTTTTATTTTTCTGAACAAAAACCCGTCACAAAACTTTGATTACAGAGTTATATGTAAATGATACTAGAAAACTATGTATGTACCAAATCTATTTGTTCACAAGTTTCTACAAGTAATTGAACATGTTAATTCCGTTTGGTGGGCTGTTAATGAGTCGAGCTGAGTCGAGCTTTGGGTTGTTCATGTTCGGCTCGTTTATAAACGAGTCGAGCTCGAGCCCGACTCGTTTATTAATGAGCCGAGTCGAGTCGAACAAGAGCCAACTCATTTATTAAATCTTGACACATCGTTAAGATTGAAAGTCTGGCTCGAGCTCAACTTTAAGATAACTTATAATATAAATACCCTAATATTTATATGTCATATGTGATACAAGTGATTACCTAATGTTATGTCATATATGAGACGTATTAGCTTACATATACTCAATGTATTAAACACCATATGAGGTGATATATACAATTTAATAATTAGATGCATCATTAACAAACTAACTCATAAAATATAGATTGATTTTCTCATAAGTTGTAGTCAAGTTAGCTCTCTAGTCACAATTGAGACATCTCATAAGCCCAAAATGAGGCAGTTCATGAGTTGTATTAAACGAGCCACCTAATCGAGCTAGTTCACGAGCTTCACGAGCCGAACAAGGTAGAGCTCAAGCTCGGCTCGTTTATTAACGAGTCGAGCTTTATTTTAACCGAACGAGCTTTTATCGAGTTCGAGACCGAGCCGCTCACGAATAGCTCGACTCATTAACAGCCCTAGCAGCAGTAATGTTATAAGCAACTTTTATTACTTGCTTTCTTGTTCCACTTTCTTGGTCTATAAAAGATAAAAAGGATTAACAAATTCTTTCCCAACAATTCGAGTTATTAAGACCAAGTGGTTAGTTCGTCAACATAATATCAGAGCCTAGAATTGAATTTCTAATTCTCGTGGCGACCCCCAATTTAAAAGATGATTTAGTACAAATAATTTTATGTCCAACCTATACAAACCCAAAGCCTAATGGTTTGGTAGCACAATGTATGATACGTTCAATATTAGAGTATGTGTAGCACGATTAGTATCGTGTTATACTACGAGTACTAGTATGTAATTGGGTAGAGTTATTTTCCTTATTACAGTTGTAGAAGTTAGGTAATTTCCGTATTAGTGTTAGAGTTATTATAGAAGTCAGTCTTTGTACTCTATATAAACCCTATGTAGAATTCGTAATAAATACAATAGTTTCCACCGTGTTCTGATTTTCCAACATTCAACGTGTGCAAACCGTAAACACGCCGAAAAAGGTAGGTTTTCGTTTGGAATGGTATGTCCAACATCCGCCTTATAATCGGAGAGGCGTCACCAGAATAACCACGTTGCAGGCCCCTCCACCACTCCAGTATTGTACTATTCCCTCTTTGGAGATGCCGTCCGCCATTAATTTTCTCCTGTACTATACTCCTCCGTCCGCCATTAAGTCGTCATGTACTATTCATACTTTCTCCCGAAAGCTGCGTCGCTGGTAGCTTCGTTGAGAAGAGGGAGATGGAAGATGAGCAAGTACAGCGGCGCAGTACATTTTTGTTATAAATTCTCCACAGTCGTAAACAGAGATCTAAAAAGCTCGCTTTTCCTCAGAAACGAAAGCCCGGCCTGACATGGACGGAATACGCCACAGCAAGCTGAGGCTGAACGGCATAAACGTCCACGTGGCGGAGTCCGGCCCCACCGAAGGCGCCGTGATCCTCTTCCTCCACGGATTCCCGGAGCTCTGGTACAGCTGGCGCCACCAGATGGCCGCCGTGGCTTCCCTCGGTTACCGCGCCGTGGCGCCCGACCTGAGAGGCTACGGCGACACCGATGCCCCGGAGGATCCGGGGAGCTACACGGTCCTCCATGTCGTCGGCGACCTCGTGGCGCTGATCGAGGCGGTGGCGCCGTCGCAGGGGACGGTTTTTGTGGTGGGGCACGGCTGGGGAGCTGCAATGGCTTGGCATTTGTGCTTGATGAGGCCCGACAAGGTCAAGGCGGCGGTCAATTTGAGCGTCCCGTTTGGTCACCGGAGCGCTAATCGGAGGCCCATGCCGTCGTTGAAGGCGTACTATGGAGAGGATTACTACTCGTGCAGGTTTCAGGTCAGTAGCTAGAGTAGTACGCTTTTGATCAATATGATTAATTGTTAACTCCTCGAGTTCGGTCATGGAGAAAAAAGTATAACATGAGTTGGTGAACACTGAACACAGAAGAAAAGTTGGAGGATTTTCTCAAAAAATGTTCTTATGCTAAATCTTTTCAAAATACTATAGTTCAACGTGGTTCGTGTACTATTGGGAAGTAATTGGGTTTCTCGCTTGCACCCGGAAATCCCTGTCCATAATCCGCGGGTCGTCCCTGATGGGGAAGTCCGGTGGTGGCAGAGATAATGAATCCAGTGGATGGACGTTGGTGCAAGGAGAAGATGAGCCAGTGGTTTGACCCACCAACCTGTCGGGCGATTAAGGAAATTCCTCTCCCTCGTGGGAATGTTGAGGACCGTCTGATCTGGCATATGACGGCTGATGAAATTTTTACAGTAAAGTCGGCTTACCTTTTGGCTGTTCTTCTGGATAAGAAAGAAGGCCGGTGGCGCTCTCTGGCCAGTTGGATGGACAGATCAAGCTGGATTCGAATATGGAATGCCCCTATTCCCCCTAAATTGCGCATTTTTCTTATGCAAATCCTGAATCGGCTCCTGACCACGATAGAAGCCCTTCGTGAAAAGGATGTTCCTGTCCATCCTCGATGCCCTGTGTGCTGGGCAGAGTCCGAGACGATGGAGCATTTGTTCCTAGACTGTCCAGTTGTCAGGGCTTTGTGGGATTGTGTGGGGTTGGAATACCTTGGTCAAGGGATTCCTAGGGAGACGTTTCCCTTGTTCCTGAAAAAGTTGATGATGTGTATTCATCACCCCCAATTTGCTGATGGCTGTTGTGGCTGTTCTATGGCGTATCTGGCGCTCCTGCAATTGTGTTGTTTTTTAGGGCAAACAATTTGGGATCCCAGCTTTAATGCGTCAATTCAATCAGCAGTATCAGGAGTGGGTTGATCTGCCTGGGGATAGGGTTCACCCGCGACCCCCGGTTAGTGCTAGTCCGTTGCTGGGCCCTGTACATCCTGGTTCTCTCATTTGTAAATGGGATGAGACTACCAAGCGTGGATCTCACTCGACAGGAGGGATGGTTGTCCTATCACCGGCCGGAATGGTGGTGGGGGCTAGGGGTGTTCAGTTTGAGGTCATTGATGACCCTTTAGTTGTTGAGATGCTTACGCTTCGCGATGCCATTCTTTGGTGTAGTGCGGCAGGGTTCACAGACGTGCAGTTTGAAGGCGATGCTCAAGTGATAGTTAACAAACTCAACGGATCTAAAGTCCAAGACAGCCGGATTGGGGCCCTTCTTGAAGAATTTCTGCATTGCTTATCCAACCAACAAGGGTTTAGTGTTCGGTTTGTAGGGCGGCGAAATAATAGGGTAGCCCACTTGGTGGCTCGTAAGGCGCTTCTTTTGTTCCCGTCTGCAAGTCAGTTCTTTGATTTTGGGGCCTGTCTCATTTCCAGGATGTAACTACATTTTCTCTAATCAATATAAGATTATCTTTTATAAAAAATAAAATAAAAATGTGGTTCGTGTTGCAGTGTCCGACGATCTAGGCACGGGTTTGTTGAAATTGAATCGATCTAACTCGGGTCGCACCCAACCGAAGCGAAACAACCAGGATCATTGGAGACGGGGAGCGAACCACACAGCAGATCGCAGATGACTCCATCGAATTTGTCACAAAAATCGCTGGATAAACTAATGATTTACACCTAAAACACATGTCGATACTTGAAACGAAAGAGTTAACTGATCGTAGCAATTTTTTTTTCTTTTTGTGATTCGGCGAAATTTTTTGAGATCTTCGAAGTCGCAAAATAGGTTTAGACGGTTTGGTCTGCCTTTGTTGCCAAAAATGTAATTTGCTTCCCCAAAACGTGCCATTTTGTGATTTCGATAAATTTTGGAAGATCGTAACTTCATCCTCCACAATCTGATCGTCGGAATGTTTAAATTTTACATAACTTTTCAAGAACGACATCTTTTACTAAAGAGCAATTTTAAAAAATGTCGTTTGCTGCCTCAAAATGGCCATTTTGTAATTTGGATAAATTTAGGATGACCGTAACTTTGTCCTCCACAATCTATCATCGTAGTTTTTTAGAACTCACATAACTTTTCAAGAACTATAACTTTTACTAGTTACTGAGCCAAAAGTATAAATGATTTAGGGTTTAAGGGATTTTGAGAATAGCTTTAGATTTAGTTTTCACCTTTCCGCATATATGATGTTATTTTGGGACAAAAACACAAAATTGACTGGGAAAACAAACGACATTTTTTAGGATAAAGGCGGACCAAGATCTTGAAAAGTTATGCGAAAAAAATCGTTACAATTGAAAAACCGAGCGCAAAGTTATAATCATTTTAAGTTTTGACCTATGTTAGGTGTAGACCGCTGGTTTGTCCAACAATTTGATGGGCCTAATAGCTAGAGTCATCATTGATCTGCATGCCTCGCTCTTGTTCGCAGCAATCCAAGTTGGTTTGAGGCCGATTTTGTTGGTCGCGATCCTTACTGGTTCACTCCTACTCCAGCAAACCAATACCTAAATCGTTGGACACTTCAGCAAACCACGTCAAATTTGTGTATCTTAAAATCTTTAGTATTAAGCATAGGTAGTAAATACTCCGTTAATACACGTATAGTCGTATATGTACCCGTACGTATTTTACTATTATTTATTTATTTTTTAAAATAATTAATTTTATATATTTATGATTATTAACGTACTATTAAACGTAACATTAGTTTAGAGACGAAGTAAAATACCCGTACCTTATTTTACTAACTATGGTATTAAGTGTGCTAATGTGGGAATTTTTCATAGTACATCTAGTACTTTGGAGAAAATTGTGCCACTTTTTATTTATTTAGGGACAGGTCATAATAGCTAATCACACTGAACCCTTTTGAAAAATATGATAGGAGCTAGGCTGGGAAACGGTGTGGTCTAGTCTAGACCATACCATATATACGGTCTATGGTTCAGACCGAGAGGCTGGAGTATAGACCACATACTATACGGTCCGGTCTAGACCACGTGTGTACGGTCTGGTCCAGATAGACTACACTCAACGAAAAATGAACAATTTGTTTAGTCAACCACACAAAAAGTTGAACCAATAACCAAGGAAAAAAAATATTTTTTCTATAAAACATAAATTTTAACATGCATGAATAATTTTGACACCCTAACAAAGATACAAAGGAAAAGCATCTCAACTTGCACCATAACGTCATAAACATTGACATAATTTCACATAGAGACACGATTATCTCTACTCTCTAGTGAAATGTGGTTGTGAATGAAGGAGGGGACGAGATTCTCAAAATTAAGGTTGAGACTTGGGTGTCGTACTGTCGTTATTGGAGTTGGGAGAATGGTCGTATGGGCTGTTAACACGTATTGAAAAGTCGGTTGGGTCCACGGTTTGGTCCGATAAACCGCGGTCTAGACCAGACCAGACCAAGAAATCAAAACGTCAAATAGTATAAACCATGGACCAGATCAGACCATACTTAATGGTCTACGGTCCGGTTTGGACCACGATTTTTCTAACGGTCTCGTCTATTTTCCCAGCCCTAATAGGAGCAAACATTTTTTGCTCAAGTTAGGGTGCATAACCTTAGTGTGCTTAACATGAGTAACTAAATCTGGACCCTTACTTTTAAGTGGGCTGCAGATCTATGAATTGAGAATTATAGGCTTTTTACTCTCCCTAGTTTTCTTAATCGGATCAATATCTTCTTCATTCTAACTCGGATTTCAAAAAAAAAAAAATTGCGCAGACGAAACGTGTTCATTGTGCTCTACGAATTGAGATCCATTTTCAATATTTTTGAGATTTTTTTTCATACCTCTCGTTACCAACTCTATACCATATAATATCTCCTTCGTTTATAAGTCGTTTTCAATTTTTTTTTTGCACAGAAGGAACAAATTAATCATGATCTATTGGATCCAAAAATTTCTGGGTGAAAAAAATACTTGACCACAAGATATAATAATATACCATCCTGGTATTGGGGTGGTATCTTTCGTACCATATGGTATGCCCCTTTTAATACCAATCAATACCATCATGGTATAGACTGGTAAAAAATAGCTCAATTTTTTTTTGTTCCAAAAATATATCAAAATGGATATCATTTTGAAAAACACAATTAATCTGATATAATTATGCAAAAAATTTTAGATTTCAACTTAAAACGAGAGAGAAATCGTCCGTTAAAAATTAATGAAAAAAATTAAAGACTTTCTTAGAGGAAAAAAGGACGCTGATGTGACTGGTTGTGATTGGATTATACATAGTTATTGACAATAAAGGTATGCATAAAATTCGTTCCCAACATTCTTTGGTTTCATTCGTCCAGGAGCCAGGTGTAATGGAAGCAGAATTCGCCGAGCACGGTACAGAAAGAGTCCTTAAGGAGTTCTTCACGCTTCACACTCCAGATCCCCTCTTCTTGCCTAAGGGCAGATTGTTTGGCCACTCTCTCGGCGCACCAATTCCTTTGCCGCCTTGGTTGTCGGAGGCGGATCTCAAGTACTTCACCTACAAGTACGAGAAGACGAGCTTCACCGGAGGATTGAACTACTTTCGGAACGTCGATCGGTAATATTTAAGCTGCTCCAGTATAGTATACTCCACGAACTTTTAGTGAGATATCACTATCAAGACTATGATTTAAACCGAGTTTGGGGGAATGATTCTATACCCTAACCTCTAATGAATAAGCCTCAGACTACGATTCTCTAAACTCACACCCGAAGTTCAATTTAATAGAAAATAATAATTGACAATTGAGATTTATCGGATTTCATCGAAGTACATCTAATGGTCAGATCACATGGAGTATACTATACTCATGTATATCCCTAGAGTACACTAGTCATTACCATTTACCATATATATATAACTTCGAACCCTAGGTCAACAAGACAACAACCAACAGGAAAAAAAAATCTCTGTAATCTGTATCTTATCAAACTAGTCGCGGGCCCGGCCAGTTGGCCGGATTCAGTCGTCAATCACATAAACAATATTATAAAATTGTAGATGAGATATACGGATTTTGATAGTATAAAAATATATAATATTCAAATACTCAAAATATTCAAATTGATTGGTAGAATAAGAGAACCCAAATTATTAAAGTACTTCAACAATTCAAAATGATCAATATCATAGTGTTTTCGACATTGAAAGTCACTCATTGACTAAAATCTTTTTACGGGAATGAAAGGCAAACTCATTTTCTTTATGTCAATCACCCTTCTATTTACTCCTCTTCGTGAGAGATTACTGCACATTTTCATGTTGACTTATTTGCACTTCCTCCGTCATGAGCACCATCATCATCTGCAACAATAATAATGTCATCTCCATTAGCGATACAATTATCTCCTTTGTCAATTTTCTCTACCTTCTTCTCTTGCATTTCAGTAATTTCTTCCTTGTTTTCATGCATTTTACTAAGCACAAAAATTTAATGGTAAAATATTTACAAATACCAATTTTCTTTTTCATTGGAGTAGAATTTACCTCGTCCAAATTATGAACAATACCTAAAAAATTGTTCTTTCTCCTCATCACTGGTACTTGTATCTTCCTCATGAAAAATGTATTTTTTCTTCTCAAGATCGTCATATCTAGCATCGATCCAACACATCCATCATTAACAGTGTCATTCCTGTTCTCTTGCATTAGCATTATGAATTAAGATAATTGACATTCAAAAGCAGAATATATGTTGTGATTGTCTAGAATCATAGGGGTTTAATATATTTGAGTTAAAATTGTAGTTGGATACAATTGCTTGCATGTTAGTGCGAGAGGAAACAAAGTTCCACTGGAGTATTATGTTATAAACGACATGCATTTGCATATACATTAAAGAATACAACTAAGTGTCATTTGTGTATGGTTTAAAAATTGAAAGCATATATTTGTGCATGGTATAGAAATTGAAGGCGTATATACTTGACAATACAACCAGTATATAATTGCATGCATGCTAGTGGGTAATAAAAGAAAGTTCCTCTAGAGTTTTAAATTATACAAATTGAATTGGCTAGAGTTAAAATAATATAATTGAGTATCATCCATATGCATGGTATAATAATTGAAGAACTATATACTTGATTATATAACTATGTATAATTTACACGTTGTATACCGTTTATAACAGTTAATTTTTAGGAGATTATAGACGCAAGTAATTGCATTGTAAAATCAACATGTGAGAAGTAGACATGGTAGGCAGGTTAGTTAAATAATAACCAGAAGGTGCATGTTCCAAATATACTCCAAATTCAATGGAGAATATTACAATTTAATAATTAATATTGATCATCATTTTCATGCAAGTATAATTTACCTCAATCAAGTCAGGAAGATCATCTGATTTATGCTCTTCTCATCCTTTCCTATCCTGAAAATCATGTACTCACTTGTTGGATTAACGATGTAATATGTGAGCTTAATTTCAAACTTCAATATCATTACCTCAATTTGTAAGAGATGAGCAGGTGGTAATCCTATCAGTATACCGTCGTTTTGGAATAGCCTTTTAGCCGACATTCTAAATATTCCATATCTCACTCAATCCATAACAACAAAGTTAGCCTCAGTGGTTTTGTTCAGAACTCGAAGGTGGATCTTGAATAAGTATAATGTTATTAATGACATAAACAACAATAGAAACTAATACTTTTATGGACAGGTTTTCAAATCCAGCATAGCACCACCCATATTAACTTTGAAAACTTTGTATTTGACGGAATACATATTTTCCTACATATTACATAAAATGTTAGCATTTGATAGTTAATAGGTCATTAAATCAAAATTGATACTTACCTCTTCTCCATCCTTAATTTTTAATTGATTTATCTTTTGCGGTGTTTGAGTTGAAATTAGTTGATGAGGTGCTTTCGTACTTTTCACTCGGAAGAATTGGTCCACCTCAATCACTTATTTACCAAAATAATGAGTGATAATTAATCCTTTTTCTATTTGAAACTTCAAACTTATAACGCTCAACTAAATACGGTATTTAAATTGTCATGAATTTCACCTTGGCCTAAAATTAATGACTTCTGGAATTCTTGGATTACCCAAGAGCAAAGTCACTCGAGATGAGAAGAAGGTTATCTCGTTTTCAAATTTGACGATCGTTTAAATAAATTTTGTTAATTTATTTGTAAATGGCTGGATTAATCATGATAAAGTAATAAAGATATTTCATTACCATTGTAATGAACGACATATAATGATGTAATGACCGGGATGAGAGGGCGGTTACCCGCATTTGCAAGGATAACATTTAATTGAGTAACCATCCTACCAAAGAAAGTTACCTTGAAAACCAATCCCCTTCAACCAAATTGTATATTAGATTTGCGATTAGAGCCAAAGTAATGTATTCTATTTGCATACTCGAGAAGTTTTAGTTGGAGTCTTCGTGCAAGCAATTCTCTAGTGAGTGTTAGATGTCAATAAACGCGAATAATGAATAAGCTGGCTAACAACATCTGTGCAATGAAAATTTTAAAAAGTTAATTAATGTTTTTGGGTTTATACACATCATATTGAAGTAAAGTTGAACTGAGAGTAGTAATTCGAACCTGAAAGAAATTTTCTTTGGTTGCACTTCTTATCAATCTCATCTTCTTAGATGAAATAAAGCTTAAAAGCTGGTAGACTGGAATATCATTTCATGACCAATTTGTTTAGAATATAGCCTATAATCTCCCTACTCATACTGGCCATAAAGTCTTGATAGTGTAAACTCTCTAGTCATGAAATGCGGGCCGAAAGTACTTGATTTTTCCTTTGAGAATTTGCACCCTAATATCATTATCATGAAGAAAAAAGTAGGAATATTAATAAATTTTCCAAATTTGAATCATACATTTGAATTTGCGTTGTTGTTGTTGTTAGTTTACACTATGAGTCAATATATCGAGGCAATGAATAATATATGTCTTGAGATTGATTGACATCCACTTCTTCGAAACCTGACATTGAAGAATCTAGTTCCTCTTTTAAGTTGTGAGATCGGATATCAGGTTAGATTGCTTATTCACTAACCTCCAATTAAAATAACAGTCAAACATTTTTTTTTGTTTCACAACATATATCAGATTAACTCACAAAATATGTAATAAGCTCAATCGTGATGCCTGAGCGTGTGATTAAATAACACAGATTAGCTCTTTCTAAAATTAGAATATTGACATGTATAACAATGAATATTATATTGTGGGTAAAATTTAGAAAATAAATATAAAAGCAAAGATTGAAGAATTTTTACATTTAAATACAATTTAATCCTCCCACAATCATGAATACATGTAAACTGAAAATATTAATTTTCTACTACCAATACATAATAACATATTAGTACGGAGGCAATGGCAATTGGATAGTGAGTAAAAAAAGAAACTAAATTTAGTAAAACATGAACGACGTCTGAATAAGGACTTGTGATTGAAAGTGAAAGTAAAAGAGCAGTGACAATTGCAGTCCTCATGAAAGAAATAATACACGAAATAATTCATAAGCTCATATAATCAACTGGGAAGGACGGGATGTGTTGAGAGGGAGCAGTTGGGTGTCTCTGATCCATGAATTATATAGTAGTCAGGTGAGAGTTAGTTGTTGCGTAGGATTATGTATCCCGCCTTTATTCACTATTGTCATTAGCAACTACTTTATTTTAAAGTTACGGTGGGTATAGCAGGAATGCAATTGCAAGGTAATACCATTTTTATTTTGTATTCCTATTCAGTTAAAAAATTCCATTATTTGTGTGTCGTATAAATTTTGGAATGAACTGATGAGTTAAGCTTTTTAAAATTTTAAATATTTTCTTATTCACTTAATTTAGGCTCAAAGAGTCTTTATCAGTTTTCTTGATATAAGAACTAAATCGGATCTACGGTTGGGTAAGCAAAATCATAGTTAGTAAATACTTCATTTAATACACACGTATATGTACTCGTACGTACTTTATCCGTTTAAAACTTTCGTATCCGTATTATTGTCAAGCCGTTTCATTTTTGTCCGTTCATTTGATGGCTCCCGTATTAAACACATATACAACCCGTATAACACGTTTAATATCCACATTTAATGAATTAAATTATTAACTTCACCATTATTTGTATATATATTTATTTTTAAAATAATTAATTTTATATATTTATGACTATATAATACTATTAAACGTAACATTAGCATAGAGACAAAGTAAAATATTCGTACGTATTTTATACGTAACTTTCCCATACCGTATTTTACTAACTATGAGTATAATCACTAAACCAGTTATAATAGCATTCAGTTCATTTGATTGGATGGTTAGAGATGGACCGAACGATTTTTAGTGGTTTGGCATGAAACCAGATGACCTGGTTTACCTGATCCACTGGTTCACTATTTAACCACAAAATATTAAAAAAGTACGTAAACTAAAAACATCCATCCTCAATCACTAATTTTATTCATACTTCATTTTTTTTTCATTTCTCATCCTCCTTGTCTGATTTATCTGGTTCACTATGGAGTGTCACTCTATTACTGACTTGAATTTAACAAAAAAAAGATGATTTCTTTTGTGAGATATATATTTTTTTTTTATGAATTAGTTGCTTTCCATTTCATCAAAAGAAAAGGGGTGCTGGGAACCAGGGGCGGAGCTAGCTTAAGGTTCGGGGGGGCCCCGGCCCCCCCGAGAATTTGACGATCACATGTAAATCGTATCGGATTATTCAAAAGTTATGTAAAACTTATAAAGATATATAAAAAATGTCGTGCAATAATTAATCACAGTTACCTCCTGCGGCGTAGTGGATTTATGTGTTGGTGTTGTGTACTTTTGTTGTGGTATGTGGGTTCGATTCCCACCAGCAACATTTCATTTATTTTTTCTCACTTTAGTTTAATTGTAGTTTACAACCTAATTTCAAAGTTCAAACTAGATAAATTAATTTTTTGAGTTAATAAATTCACTTTTTAAAAATATTTTTTGGTTAAAATTTAACCAAGCTAATTACTTAATTTTCATACTTCATCTTTTTAGATCCTCTAACCTAATTGCTTATAAGTTATGAATTCACGTTGTTAAGGATAACTATGAATATATAACCATTTTTCTTTTTGAAAATGCTAATATGCATATTAATTAATTGTTCAATAATATTTACAACCTAATTTCAAAGTTCAAACTAGATAAATTAATTTTTTGAGTTAATAAATTCACTTTTTAAAAATATTTTTTGGTTAAAATTTAACCAAGCTAATTACTTAATTTTCATACTTCATCTTTTTAGATCCTCTAACCTAATTGCTTATAAGTTATGAATTCACGTTGTTAAGGATAACTATGAATATATAACCATTTTTCTTTTTGAAAATGCTAATATGCATATTAATTAATTGTTCAATAATAATAACAACGAATAACATGGTACCAATTGAAAAGAATGAATACATTTTTGCTTGTCATTTACTATTTATTTTGAACATGTCTTGGTTAAAAAATTTAGTTTATAGCATATGTTTAGATACATTTAATTTTTTTTATTGACAAGACGCAAAAAAAAAAAAAATCGCCCCCCCCCCCCCCCCCCCCCCGAGTTACAAATCCTAGCTCCGCCCCTGCTGGGAACATCCTTCCCAGCTAGGATCAACCAAAGAAAATTTTGGTATACAACAGACTCAACTGAAACAAAACTTTACCTATACACCTCAAGTAAGACTAGCTAATCCGCAAAACTGCCAAAGACCAGATTATATGAATTAGAGCCAGAATTCAGCTGCTTCTTCCTCCTGCAACAACATCAATACCTCACTTCGAATTACCTTCCTCAGACCTTCAACACTTCGACTCTTCCCTTCAAACAGTCTAGTACACCTTTCTTGCCAGGTATAGCTTATCAGAGACTGCCAGATAAGTCTTCCATTCCCTGCCTTCGTCCCTTTCTTTCCAAACACATCAATAGCCCATGTCAATCCATTCTCCCAATCCCTCGGCATAAAGTTAGAGAAAGCCCCCAACAAATCATGGAACAATCGCGTCTCATTTAATGAATTAAATTCTTATAAGAGTTAGACGTGTGTAAATTAAATGGACATGCTGAATTATATTGAATCTAATAACATCATCATCAAAGTCCATGTACATCATAACTAATCAATTATTAGCAGTGTTATTAAAGCCGAGCCGAGCCGCTCGGCCCGACCGGTAAAACCTCCACCCAGTCACAAAACCGGCTCGGAACAATCTAAAAGCCGCTCCGGTTTTATGTAGCGGTTGACGAGCGGCCGAGGCGGTTAACCGTTCGAGCCGATCGAGCCGCTCGTCCGGTTTTTGTCATTCAGCCACTAAATTTAATTAAAAAAATTGTAGAAAATTGAAAATTGAAATTAACAAAAAACGCCGGGCTCTCAAATTGAACCTTATTTCCATTTCACAATTTTGAAGGAAAGAGATGAGCTCTGATTAAGAAATGTCCACTATTTATACTGATAACGTTTATTAGGTACCGGTTCTCTAACAGTTTTTAAACGGTCTAATGCCGGTTGGACCACTAAAGTGCGAGCCGTTCGCATTACCGGGTCATGCTCCGGTTCGGTTCTGACAACATTGATTATTAGTCAAATTCCCATGGGTTGGTTAAAGAAGCCATGCAATGGAGACCCATAGAGATTAAAACCCTTAGGCCCTGTTTACTTTCATTTCTGTTTTCTGTTTTTGAGAAAACAGATGTTGAAAACAGGTGAAAACGACATTTTTTCGTTTTCGAAAACAGTAGGAATTTGCCAATTTCTGCTTTCAGAGTTGGAAACGAATAGAAAACAGAATGAAAAGTAAACATGTTTTCTCGTTTCGTTTCCCAAATTTGTAACATGAAAACAGAAAACAGGAAACGAAAATGGAAGTGAACAGGGCCTTAGCTGCTCAAAAGCTTATAAGAACTACATAGAAAATGACAAAAGCCCCCCTCCATGGGTTGTGGAAAAGTGGAATTAAAAGGGTTTTGGAGAAGAACCTATATATGTATTGTTTGATTGATTTGATGATGATAGAGTGAAACGGATCTTTCCTGTTCGTGGATTAGCGTGCTAACATACATCGTGCTAATAAACCACATAAATTTATATGTTGTTTACTTTCTTGCATTGTCGATTTCGTTCGTGTTCGCTTACAACACGAGGGTTGGTCCTCTTTTCCTTGTTGCAGGAACTGGGAATTGACTGCTCCGTGGCAAGGGGATCAAGTGAAAGTGCCGGTGAAGTTCGTCGCCGGCGATCAAGACATGGCCTATAACAATGCCAGGGGTTATATACACAAAGGAGGTTTCAAGAGGGACGTCCCGTTTCTGCAGGAGGTGGTTGTGATGGAAGGCGTCGGCCATTTTCTCCAGGAAGAAAAGGCCGACGAGATCAGCGGCCACATCATCGATTTCATTCGCAAGTTCGGATGAATTCGTGACAACAAGCAAATTGTCGTGACTATTGGTGGTCCAAAATCCAAATTAACTTTGGATTTAATTGAGAAATTAATTAGGCGACGAAAGACGACTTTTCTTAAGGTGTTTGGCACATATGAATATGATGTATTTTATGGTGTGAATTTTCTGTTTAATCCATCAATGGTGGGTTTGACATGTAAAAAATTTAGAATAGTAGAACTTAAAGACTTATGTTGTGCTCTCAAACGCTAAGTAACTGAATGCATGAATGCATGTTAATATTTATTACATAAAAATAAAATTCATTTTACAATTGTTACATAAAATACAAATATATTATGTTAATGTTACGTAAGACCAGTTATTTCTTTCGTTATAGCTTAACAAATGTGTTACATAGGACTTTCGTAATACATGCCGGGTGTTATACGGAAGGTTAGTAGGAGGACTTCTTTTGCTGTATCAGCCGAAGTCTTAAGGTTGCTCATTAGTCCTTATTCTTGTATGTCTCTTATCAATGATATTTTAAAACTCAGTCTAATGTACATGCTTGCCAAACGACGTAAGAAATGTGTAGTTGCTCACTAGGCAACATGTATGGCTACCTGTTGTTCACCCACAAATGGGCAGAAATGGGTAAAATCCAAGGTTGTCAACCCGCGGGTTGACCCGGACCCGGTCGAGCTAGTGGGTCAAGGGTTAATGGGTCAACCGTTTTAGCCCGGTTTGGCCCGGAAATATGGAAAAAGTTATTATATTGTACTTATCCTCATAAATTATATCAAATCTTATCTAACATATGATTTATAACATATAATATGACACCAAAATAACATATCGTACTTAGATCCAACATATAATGAAAATTCACACACACTTATATAACATAAATATTCAAATGTTCAACTTAGGATTCCAAAGATTGAGTTGGGCGAAAAGAAAAATCGGAAAATAGGCGCATTTCGCAAATCAAAGGAAAAAATGACACAATTTGACCTCCAACCCAGTACCTTATAACGGTCGGCCCGGCAGGTGCGTGCGACCCTTTTTTCTCATCGGGTCAGGGTCAAACTGGGTCGACCCGTGGGTCAACCCGCGGGTTGACAACCTTGGTAAAATCGAAACAAACTTATATTTGTTGGGGTCGATTTTTTCAGGAGCAAGGAGTGGTGGAAGCCGAATTTGCAGAGCTTGGAACAGAGAGAGTTCTCAAGGAGTTCTTCACGCAGCACACTACTGCTCCCATTTTCTTGACTAAGGGCAGACTGTTTGGCCACTCGCCGGACACCCCAATTCCCCTGCCACCTTGGTTGTCGGTGTCGGAGGATCTCAAGTACTTCACCGACAAGTACGATGAAGCAGGCTTCGCTGGAGGGGTGAACTATTACCGGAACTTGAATCAGTGAGTCTTCCTCGATCTGTTCTTCGAAAGGGCACCATAAATGTTGGCTCTGATGTTCTGTATTTTGGGCAGGAACTGGGAGCTAACAGCGCCATGCCAAGGAGACCAAGTGAAAGTGCCGATTAAGTTCATCGTCGGGGATCAAGAACGTTGCCTACACCACTGGGAATTCGAGAGCGTACATACACAAAGGGGGTTTCAAGAGGGACGTTCCGTTTCTGCAGAAACTGGTTGTCATGAAAGGGGTCGGCCATTTCCTCAACGAAGAAAGGGCCGACGATATCAGCAATCACATCGTCTAACTTCATTAGCAAGTTCTGATGATATTGTACTCCTAATTCCCGGAATAGCAGACGAACAAGGTTACACAAAGCAAGTGATCCATCATATAATAAGATGTGTTCTTTTTTCTTGTTGTGCAAGCAAATTATGGAGAATTCTTCTTAGTTTCCAGGCTCTGCAAATGTAGCTGATAGCCAGAGTATTGCCATCATCTGATATCCAATAAGATGTAAACTAAATTAGAAACAGTTTTGCTTTTATGATCAAGGCTGTCACCATGGTTCTTTCCCAGTTTATTATGTGGATGGTTAATGATCAGTGCATCTTCTCTGGTTGGAAATTCACCCTCACTGTTCATCTCTAGAGATACAAAATCCTACAGAAGAGAACATACTTGGCAGAGAAAGCTGCATCCCTTTTTTGACGAGCCAGATGGACACTTTGGGAAGGGAGGTGATGATCAATTTATAGGCCTCTTACGGATTTCACAGTTGAAATGGACATCAACAAGATCCGTTATTCCAGCAGTTACCCTCTGGCCGGCTTTCACTGGACCGACACCTGGAGGCGTGCCTGCCACACCCAGCAAACAGGAGATACATTTACTTCTGTAATTCATGTTACAAGCTACAATTCCGCATTTCCGGGGAAGATAAGATAACAAGAAAGTCTAAATAGAGGTTGATAAAGCACCATCAGCAACTTAATGGCAGATCTAGTCTGTATCAGACAAGAATCCTAGTGACACCTTAATTAGAAGCTGAAATGGAGATTATCATACACACCAAATGAAGTGTGGGTGGAGCCGTGGAGGCATGTACTACTATGGACAACTATGCTCAAGGGCCAGGACCAACAATACCATAAGACCAAGACAAACCGAATTTGATCCTATTGAGTGCTGCTTAAGCAACAAAACAACATGTTCAGAAGAGAAGTTTCTGAAACATGAAATTCCAAATGAATTACTGTAAAATGATTGAACGTTGGGTTCAATAGAAAGGACCAATTTGTAGTTCTTACTACCATGAAGTTGACCAATAAGCTTGACAAAGGGCATTTTGACAATAATTCCACTAATACTATGTCAAATCAAAGAATGAAGCAAACCCAAATGGTGATGATACCTGTTAAAATGACATCTCCCTCAAAAAGGGTCATGATTGCACTTATATGGCTGATGAGAAATGGGATCTTAAACATCATATCCTTTGTGGAACCTTTCTGCCTTATCTCATCATCTACCTGGACTCAAAACATCAAGACGAATGTCTCAGAAAGATCATCCATAAAAACTAGAGCGATCCCAAAAAAATACAAGATAATGTTTTGGCACCTTTAACCATAGTTCCAAGTTATCAGGATCAGGTACAGCCGACTTGGGGAGCTGCACAAAGTTCATAGCGAAAAGTCACATGTCAAAGCAAATGAAACAAAAGCAAGCCAGAAGGTGAAATAGTAAGGAAAGGGATGAATGTTCAGAAAAACTCTAGCAGATCCATGTCAACACTAATGCAAATACGTTTATGATGATATCTATTCATACTAAATAGCCAGAAGGCAGAAGCTAACCATTACAATTCACAAACTGAAGAGCACAACAAAAGGTAGCTGCAATTCATGTATCTCACATTCATAAAGCTATTTCCATGTGAATTTCACCTACTAAGACTAAACAAACATGAAACGATCGAGACTTCTTCCATAGCTTACAATGGAACTAATAGGTGTGAATGTATCCTGCCCCTTGGCCACAGTCCATGGAAGGCCTGCTGACTGCAGAAACCAAATCAAAATTACTTCTCCTCTGAACAACGAAAGAGAACTCATGGCTAAGGAACTGATTCAGAACAACATTTTCAAAGCTCGGGATGAAAACAAAGCAATTATCATCATCTCTACCTTAGCAGAAGCTTGGATTTCTCTTGCGGTCATATCCAGCGCAAGGGCGTAACCTGAGAGAAAGCAAATACCAAAGCGATCAGAGCCTCTCTCGTCGTAAAACCAAAAATCGAGTTTCACAGTGATGAAAGAACTCGCGTGAAACCTCCGATGTAATCCATGGCGGAAGCCTCCGGCACATCGCGAGCTTTCTGGCCGATGACGACCGCGAGCTCCACTTCGTGATGCAGCGAGTCGAGAGGATGTGGAATCAAGATCGTGCCTCCGTTCTCCAAGTAGGAGGATGTAGGTTTCAGGAACAACACCGGCTCCTGCGAACGAGAAACGGAAAGGCGAGCGAGATGCCAGTTAGCTGGCCGATGGGAGAGCGAGTAATTTTGAACTAAAGGGGAAGGAATCGAGTTGAGACCTTGGGGACGGCGTTGCCGAGTTCTTTGGCGTGAGCGGCGTAGTTGCGGCCGACGCCGACGATCTTCGTGCCTACTTGCAGTAGCTTCTGCATCCCCAACGCTGCCGTCGCCATTTCCGCCTTTCGCTTTGCTCCAGCGAGTCCAAAATGCAGATCCTTTACTCGTCTTTTTTGTTTTTCTTACTCGTCAGCCGTCCCCCGTCAACTCTGAAATTTGATTCATGTGAATGATTGCATTCCCCCACCACTTTGAAACGGACCGTTTTTGTAGACTGGGAATTGCGTTACTACGACTATTTTTAGTTTTTTACCATACAAATTGTATGGGTAAATCGTAAATTTGGTTACTGTATTTACTAAATTATTTTACAATTATTACTAAAAATATTTTAATTCATTCATGATCATAAATATTGTGAAATTTGATGAAAAGAAAATTGATAATTTCGTGAGGAAACGAAACAACAATAGACGAAAGAAATAATATAAAGGAAAAAATAGAAGTGGATTAATAAAAATGTGGTAAGGACATAATTGGAAAATTTGAGATAAATAATGAGTCATTTGGAAATGTTTCATGAATAGAAGGCATTTGAAAATGACTAAATACAGTAATTTGGGACTTTTGTATTGAATGAAATGACTCATACACGATTCGTTGGAACGGATTATCTTTGATATCAAATGATTCAATTAAATTATTCCTTAATACCAAATGACTCCTGATGCCACATAAGAACTGAATTAATGAAATGCAGGAAGATAGCAAGTAAAGAAAAGGTGGGTGGGTCTCAAATTGGATAGCATTTTCCTCATCAACCAACTCCAATATTATGATAGAGAGATGGCTTTATTGAATAAGATTATTATTATATTACAACATTACAAGTTTTTCCCTTCCAGCTACTCTTTATGCAAGTAACTTGGAGCTTTAAGGTGAGGCAAGAAGAAGAAGAAGAAGGGTAAACCAGTCAAGTCATCTAAGCTGCAAGATGAACAGCTCAGGTTTCTCAATCAGCTGTTTCCACTGGGAGCAAAATCTCGCTACTGTAGCCCCATCTAGAACTCTGTGATCTGCTCCTATATTCACCTGAAAAAGACAACGGAGAGGCGTTAAACCGCTATAGACATGAATCAGCCAACGACTTAAGAAACATTAAGTGCTTAATCAGCTTACAGTCATGATCGATGCAGGGTAAACATTCTCGTTTTTATCGAAGCGAGGAACTTTCTGGATTCGCCCCATTGCAATTATGGCAACTTCAGGCAAGTTAAGGAGGGGAGAGCCGAACTTCCCACCGATTGCCCCAATGTTGCTTAGAGTCACCGTTCCACCAGTTATGTCTCCGGGGCTAAGCTTGTTAGCCATTGCAAGCTGTTGCAACCGGGCGAGTTCCATGGTTATCTGCATACGATCATTTCAGCAGATTTAATTACAGCTTCTCTTGTGTCAACCTTGCTTGTACACCAACCATTTCATGAATGAAAAAACGTGTTTTACAAGAAAAGGAATCATTTCATTCCACGAGTAAAGTTCTATACGATATACTTTTAAGGCAATTTAGTTTAGAATAGTACAGTTTCAAGTCACAGTGCAAGCTTTATGACTAGTGACATTGTGGCCCGCCAGTAAGCAAAGAGAAAGAAATGACGGGAAACGAACCTCGAGGATTGAAAGGGACTGAACATTCTTTATGTTTGGTACCACTAGACCGGATGGAGTAGCCATGGCAATTCCAATGTTGTGGGAACCTAATGTGCCAGTGGGAATTATGAACAAACAATAATTTAGCAATAGAGATCAGAGAGGAGAAAGAAATCTTAGAACTTCAATTGAAATGAAATACACACTACTTAACAGCACGTCCATGAAACTTAACCTAGCCCATGGTCCCTGCGCAAGGATGACATGCCTAAACTCGAGAGAATTTGCAGAAGCCAAACAACAACTGTGATTTTTTAGAAGGATAGGGTCAATCAACCTTTTAGTACGACCTCCATTGCATCCTCGTTGAATGAACTATTCACCAAAGGGTACATGCTAAGTGCTGATGAAAGGGCCTTGATTAACAATGGAAGGAAGGTATGCTTAACTCCTGGATCGGTAGTTTGTTTCTGGAAAGACGCTTTGAGTTCCACTATTGCATCACAGTTGATCTCTTCCACGAAATAAAAATGTGGAACTTTGGCAGCCATTGACATTGTTTTCACCATTGCCCTCTGGAATCCCCTGAAAAGAAAAAAAAACCAAAGGCGCTTAACTACAATGTTGACTTAGTCTTAACTACCCATACGAGCAAGAAAACTAGGTGAAGTCAGACATTACCTAAGGGTAACCTTCTTATCATTGGGATTCTGTATGACTTCAGCTGATCCAAGTTCGTCCTGAAGGTGGTCGCCCAAAGGAATGCCAGAAGACTCGATGATTCCTTTCTGAACAGCATATTTAAGAATATCTTCTTTCAGCACCCTCCCTGATTTCCCAGATCCTTGAATATCATTTAGACTGATTCCATACTGTTTAGCGAGATGCCTTACTGCTGGTGTACTCAAAACTCCACCAGTTCCAGCTGTATTCAAGTCAGCACCAGATGAAAACTCACCGACGAGGTCCCCATTCTCCTGAACTGGTACCTGGGAGTCAACTGACTGCACATTAACCTGAGATTCGTCCACCGCCATCTTCAGAAGAGTCTCCCCAACCTGCAATAGAGTTTTCCCCATGTCTTCAGGGGCACATTAACGAATTGAAATTAACGAGAAGCCATCTCAATAAGCCACCTTGGAACTGTTCTACAACAATTGCTCAACATAATGGTTATAGTTCCTAATAATAGCTTTGTCAAATATTGAAGCTACTTCAAGACCTCCAACTTCAATGTGGAGACTATCACAAGCCAAAGTGGATTTTGTTGCATTCAGAGACAATCAATTACAAAAGCGCAGCAAGCAAGTCTTAATACGAAAATCGGTTCAATCAAAGGCGAGCCATTCAAGTGAAGAACCTCTCTCACCTTCACAATGTCACCAGGAACATAGAGCATCCGAGAGACTCTTCCTTTGTACCGGCTTGTGATTTCAATGGTGGCCTTATCGCTCTGAACTTCACAGAGCGGCTGAAACTCGTCAACTTCGTCCCCCTGGAGAGCCAAATATCATTCCAATCCAATTTGAAAGAGAGGGAGGAAAGGAAGGAAAGAAAGAAAAAACAACTGGCTGTAACGATCGATCACCGCACCTCTTTAACAAACCACTGAAGCAGTTCACATTCAGCAATACCTTCGCCGGTCTGAGCCAACGGCACATCGACGGTCCCGTTCTCCGGAAGATCCGCCACAGCGCTACTGGAAAAGGAACGCCGCTTCCACCGCCAACAAAGCACCACAACCAAAATCAGTTAAAAAAATCTCAAATAGAAACTAGAACATCGATCAAATCAAAGTAATGAATAGCAAACTCACTCCGATAGAATCGCCTCCTTGGGATGGATGTTCGGCCGCCGAGTGGCTAGAGCGGCACAGTCGGGACGACAGGTGACTAAGAAACGGACGGCCGTGGTGACCGGCGAAGACCGAGGGCGGAGGCGGAAGAAGAGGAATCTGAGCAGCTTCATATGTCAGGAAGCGACGGCCAGCGGCAGCGGCGGACCAAGCTCGTTTCCGGCTCAGGAACCTGATCGGAATCATGATTGAGTTGAGGGAAGACGCCTCAGGTACTGCTGTGAAGTCTTGGTAACGGCTGCTGAAACAAAATGAAAAACTCGCGGTTTTCGAAGTGGACTGTGGTAGTAGAAATTAATTATGACCAAAGTTGACAATTAATTAGGCAATTAGTTCCTGTTTTTCTTTTCTTTTTTGGAGGATTAGTTGTTGGGAAATGTAATAACAACGTGCCGTTTCTTGGATCTGAGCGTATGAAGAGTTTGCTTGCTGCTTCGCATTTCAGATCAGGTCAGCAATTTTCTGCCTACTGTTATATACGCGGAGCTGGGTCACAGAGAGTTAGGGATGACTGGGCTGCTAAACGGTTATTCCCTCAACCTCAACGGTCTAACCGATAACCGAACCGGAATCGGTGTTTAACGGTTACACCGATGACCGATTAAATAGTAAATGTTAGGTTTCCGGTAGTCAAATTTAGCTAATAACTAACCTATGATTAAACGATTAATAACCGACGGTTAAACGATTAACCGACTAACCGACTACGACCATCCTCATAGTTAGGGCCGAAGATAATAGACCTCCATGAGTAGAGATGGCAACAAAACCCGAACCCACGGGTACCCACCCGACCCAAAACCCGTCAACATGGGTTAAGTAGAGATGGCAACAAAACCCAAACCCACGGGTACCCACCCGACCCAACCCGGTCAACGCGGGTTAAACCCATGTTGACGGGTTTTGGGCCGGGTTCGGGTTTAAACCCGCTACACTATTCACCGGGTCGGGTTTGGGTTTAGGTAAACCCGCCACATGGGTACCCGCCCACACACATATAATTACTTTTCCGGTATATTTAATATTTAAATAATATATCTTCCTTAAACAACTAATATTCTTTATGTTTGTGGAGATATGTATAATTTGTTCTTTCTAATTGTTTAGAATGAAGTTGATATTATGAAGTGGAGAGTGAAGAAACTTAGTTGACGAGGAAGAAGCTTTCAATTAATCTTATTGTTTATAGATGTTTATGTTTAATTTTGAACAATTTGTATTGATCATTTGCGGTTTGATTGTATGCTCTAGATTGGTGTTTTTTGTATGAATAATTTGTATGAGAAAATTGATGTTAAACTTTTATTTTGAAAGAAACTTGTTATTGTAAATTTTTTACCACAAAAACCCACGGGTACCCATGAACCCGCGGATACCCAGCGGGTTGGGTTGGGTTTGAGTTTTTCAAACCCACCGGGTTTTACCCCGGGTTTTTTTGGCGGATAAACCCATGGGTTTGGGTTTGGGTTTGACAAAACCCGCCCCAACCCGACCCATTGCCATCCCTATCCACGAGCCACAAACATAGGCCGAAAATAATGGGGTGTTTGAAGGCTTACATGACCCCTTGCCTACTTTAGTTGTAATCAGGGCCGTCCCATGATATTCGGAGGCCCTGTTCGACAATTTAAAATGTGGCCCAAAATTTGTTCTCTAAATTTATTAAAAATAATAATTATTAAACACTAATAATAAAATTACATAAATTCAGAAAATGATTACAAAAATAAGAATATTATCTATCATTGTTCAAAAGTAACAATCATATAGTATTTTTTTTAAAAATGTAATCCTCTATTAGCCCGTCCATCTTCTCTATATCTTTTGAAAAACGAAATCAATCTATATATTTCTAAAATAGCATTATCAATAAGCATATCTTTGGATTGTAAATATTTACTAACCGAATTTGTTGAGTGCAACATTTCATACCAAATAACTAATGAAACAATAAACTCAACACCATCGAAGTTCATTTTGTGTCAAAGATTGAGCTTCACTTCAATTTTTGAATCGGCATCAAGATCGGCTAGTAGTATTCAAGCTCCTCAAATTTCTGTTTTCTTTTAGCTTAGAACTATCTTTTTCAAATTTTTGGATTCACATAATTGAAAATTATAACCAAAGATTAATGATTCCAAATTTTCAATCAAGATTAAGTTCCATGCAAAAGAAAAAAATTATTATAACTTAAAACAAGTTGATTAGGGGTCTGGATAGTAGGGATGGACATTGATTAGGAGTTAATTAGAATTTGGTGTGAATAATTAATATTTAGGCGTTGGATGGTATTAGGAAATTGAGAAATTTTGGGGAAAAGGATAAGAGAGCTCTTAAATACTTTAGTTGTTAGTATAATTTCATAAAACGAGTTCCAGCTCAGTGGTTCGAACTCCTTTTCAAGGTTCGATTCCTGTCTCTGTTGGTTCTCCCTGGTCTTGTAAATATGGTTTTCGTGATGGGCTGATGAGGTGCCTCTGGATCCGCCTCGCCTCTGGGAGGACTTATGTTGGGCTCGCAACTCCGCCCCGCCTATAAGGGCCCAGGTTGGCTCTAGCTCCGCCTCCAGACTGAGGCCCCAAGATATTGAGGCCTCTGGGAGGGCTTATGTTGGGCTCGCAACTCCGCCCCGCCTATAAGGGCCCAGGTTGGCTCTAGCTCCGCCTCCAGACTGAGGCCCCAAGATATTGAGGCCCTGTGCTGTGGGTCAGACCAGCACAGGGTCTGGGCCGGGCCTGGTTGTAATAGTGACTTAAACTCAAATGAGAATCATTTAAAAGAAGTGTATTAGAAGGAGCACAGTAGAAAGTCGGACTTGCACACAGTTGCTCGACAATAATCAGTAACGTTAAGCTTCGATGTAATTTGGTGGGGTTTACGAGTTGACTAATTGTTATTGGATCTCTTGTTGTTATATGCTTCTCTAATAAAGTTTGACGGTGGAATGATATTATGGTGTACTTGTGATAGATTGAGTTGATTATGTATTGATATCTATGTTAAATTATTTTTTATTCAATGATAACAGTTTAAGAAAAGAACACATGCGTATGTATGAAAAAATTATAGAAAATTTCACAATTGAGAAAAAGAGTTCTTATATTGGTTAGATTATCGGTCGGTTATTTAGGTATTACATTGTTGAATCAATCGGTTTACGGTTATCCGATTAACCAATAAAATAACTGACAACCGACTATACATTTACGATTAACCATCTAATTTAAACGGTGCGATTAACAGCAAGCACAAAATGCTCTACGTTTAACAAAGAACCGACTAAATGGTTTCGATTATAACCACGTCTCACTTCTATTTTATGACAATTAGGGATGACAATGGTTCGGTAAGGGTCTGGACGGATGGCAATGGGCCCATAAGTTTATTCGTGAAAAAAACCTGAGGCAAAACCCACTAGGTTTGGAAATTTCAAACACAACCCAACCCGTTGGATATCAACGAGTTCATGGGTACCCATGGGTTTTTGTTGTAAAAAATTAACAATAACAAGTTCCTATCAAAATAAAAGTCAAATGTCAATCTCTTAAAACAAATTATCCATATATAAAACACCATTCTAGAAAATTCAAGCAAATCACAAATTAACCATACAAATTGTGGAACACAAATCTAGAAAACTTAAGAAAATTGAAGCAAATCACAAATTATCCATAAACAACATAATTAATCGAAAGATTCTTCCTCCTTGTCAATTAAGCTTCTTCACTCTCCACTCTATAATATCAACTTCATTCTACACAATTAGAAAGAAAAAATTAAACACATCTCCACAAATATAAAAAAGATGAGTTGCTTAGAATATTAAACATACTGAAAAATTAATTATATGGGCATGAGCGAGTATCCATGGGACGGTTATACCTAAACCCAAATCCAACCCAACCCAGTGAATAGAAAACGAGTTTAAACCCGGACCCAGCCTAAAACCCGTCAACACAGGCCCGCGTTGACCATGTCAAGTCAGGTACGGTACTCATGGATTCGGGTTTTGTTGTTATCCCTAGGTCTGATTTTCCCAAACCCAACTCGCCAGGAGCACCATCCAAAAAATAACCAATAATGCATATTATTGGATCTAAAAAGAAGATATTTTACATGTCTACCTTTCTATATATCTCTAATCGGTACATAAATCGTTCTCTTGAAACTCATCATCCTCTTCATCATAAATGATTTGCTTGCTTGAAGAAAAAGTATGAATAAACCTCAAAGACCAAACATTGGAAGCCAGAATCACCTATACAAGAAGAAAAATTGAAAAACTACTAATGACACTTTTAGTTCAATTCTACAATCACCCTAAAATAATAATAATAACTAATTGCAATTACATACTCATTCTCACTTGAATTTCAATTTGAAGATAATGTAATTGAACAAAGAACAAAGAAAAGAGAAAGGCAACCAATCGAATAAGAAGAAAGGGGTGCCGAGAGCAGCTCAAATCAAATCTGTAGAAAGTTCCGTCCTGGGGCTTACAAGCAAACAACTTCAACGTCTCGTTCAATTTCTCAACACGGGGAGTGCTGCACCAACAAATCAGAATTCGAATTCTTAATTACCAAGTACAACGAGAAATAAGAAGAAGAAGAAGAAGAAGAAGAAGAAAACAAGTAGAATAATAAGCTGCTTGGTAAGAGGAGAACTGAAAACACACTTGACCCCCTAGTTCTTAGCTCTACAACTTTATTAAGACATAAAGAGTAAATGGTGAGATTTTCAATCACATTTTTCTTTTTTATAACACAAAAAATATCTTACAAATTACAAACTGAAAACTAATCTCAACTCACTAATCTCATACTGAAGTTATCTCAACACTGGGACCCTTCAAACATGTTCCTCGTGGCCTACTCTGATCAATATTTGGTATGGAAATTATAGTAAATCGAGGGATAAAATTTAGAATGATCAGCCATAAAATACTAAACTATGGATGCTCAAGGGAACACCCAACTTCATGGCGAAGGGGACAATGTTACCAACCATGACAATATATCTTGCATGATTATTTCGACATCTTTTTTAACGAAGAATATAAGGCGAAAAAACTTAGTGCGTGAATGACCCATAGAGGAAAAGAGGGAATCCACTACCAGGGGAAAAAACAGAAACAGAAACAACTGAAAAAGGAAAGACCTACCCAATGAAAAATGCAACATGTGGAGTGTACTCCCAAACGGCAATATGTTAGGCTTGTTTTCACCAATTGGAGTATGTCTACTCTTTCAATGGTATGGGAAATGCGCAGCAAGCAGTCCCCTCCCCACCCATTATTGCTGGTCTCAAAACAAAGAAAAGGTCCAGAAATGTACCTTCCAAATGGTGTCCCTAGCTAGCGAGCTTTTTCTGTAGCCATTTCTGCAGCAATC